GGTGCCTAAGCGCAAAAGAAAAAGGCAATCTATTGATCCCCCTTCTGATGAAATTAATTTGAGCAATCAATTTCATTTGCTCACGGATGATGAGAATGATCCAGGAAGCAAACTTTCCCGGTTTAATGCCAAGAAGGAAAAGATTCCCACTTCCGATTTCCATAAACGAATAAACTTCTAATATTTAAACAAGTTTTAAATGTGGTCTAGTTGTTGCACTACCAGGAAAAAAGCACTTCAAAGGATTCAGAACAAAGTTCTGAAGATGATTTTGAAGTTGCCTCCCTGGTACAATACTACCGAGGTACATAGAATTTCGAATGTTTAGAACAAATGTCCAACAAAATAATTAATAATTTCAGGCAAAAATCGTTGCAATCCTCAATTGCAACGATTAATTCCCTTTCTACTCAGATAAAACTTAGTTTTAAGATGTCAATTGTCATACTGATATGCAGGTTTAAAAAAAAAATCTGTTTGAAATACTGAGTGGGCCCAATCTTAGATCCATAGGCCAGTATTAGAATCATTTCCCCTATATCATAATAATTAAGGCTAGTAAGTTACTGTAGTAGCTGGAGCACCTAGGTTAAAACGAAATGTAATTTATTTTGAATTTGAAACAAATAACCGAGACTGCCAGTGATGATAGGCAGAGGTGCGTCCATCTTCAAAGATGAGGGTGGGTCAAATAGTATTTTTGAATATTTTTGGAATCTTGAGCTGGTTCCGGACATGTATGGCCAGAACATGTTCTGGTCTCTGAAAGTCATGAAACTTAATGCGGCTTGAATTGAATAAAACCCATCATGTGGCACATCAAATGACATGGGAATTCAAAAACCCGTTAAATGATAGTAATGATCAGAGCACAGGACTATACTGGTCACATCATTTTGTACCAATCATACAATTTAAGATAGAGCCTATATGTTTCCTTGCAATATGCATCAATTTTTCCGGGTTTATTGGCTCTTGGCAGTTAATAGCAATTAATATATTCCGGAATCTGAAAATTAACTCTTCATCAATGTTCAGCACGGAACTTAAAAGCTTGGGATTTCCAAATGCTCTTCGACAAACGTTTCCTGTAGTACTGATACCTGCTCCACCCGATCGTGGTTGATCTACTCTTACTCCAAATTTTTCGTAAAGCTGTGTCGTCACATGTTTTTTTCTTTGTTCATATAGTTCTTTGAACGGTTTCGTTACCTTCCATTTTTTGATATCCATTCTGTATGCAATATGCAAAAGGCATTCGAGAAATCTTATCCAAGCATGAAGTGGAGATATGCCGTAATGCAAGGCTTCTTCGTTTGATATAAATCCTTTCTCGAATTTCTCTGCATCATTCATTACATTTGGTGTTGCCCCACATATTGGACAATTCTGCATCGACGAATTTCCAGTGATATAAGTTAAGACTTTTCCGTCTATCACACTGAGGACAAAATCAAAATCAACAAGTATAAACTTATCGTTTGAGAGTTCAATTTTCACTGGCTGGTTCACTCATTTTTTTTCTACATCCTGTTTTGTAGCCAGAATAACTTCTTTACTCTCTTTAATGAATTCAAAGATGAATGGCCTACAAAATCGAATACTTTGAGGCATGGGATTAAACCACATAATTTCCTTTCGATCATTGTACATGAACAACTGAATTGGTGTTAAAGTGGACGAAAATACATCTGAATCGTCCTGACATCCTTCTGGTAGCACTTGATGATATTGCGAATATCCAGTTGATCCGTCCATACCCCAGCTACATAGAAGAACCAGTTCCGTAGAAACTAGATCGTTGCTATCCATATACTCGTTGAGCTCTGCATCAATTATTTGGACGATTCGTTTCACTGTATTTTCCATCAGCGCCTGGAGTTTCACTCTTATTTTCAATGCACTTTCTTCGATGAATTCACTAGGGGGGGCGCTTATTTTTTCACTGCTCCGATCACATAGTAAGGTGGAAATCTTGAAGGTGATTCACTATGTATTACTTCGTATTGAAATTTACTCAATCCAGCCTCGATAAGTACACTGAAAGCCTCTTCTGGTGACATCATTCCTCGTTGATCAGTTAGTTGAGCCAGCATGGTTTTAGAGCTTTTTTGGTTTTTTAAAATATGCCCAATAACTTTAACTAAATTAAAATCTTTTCGATTATAAGCGGTCCGTCTTGCAAATAACAAAGCTTTCTCGATGGTATCGAATTTTGGATCAACTGCTTCTTTATCGATGACGCGACGTTTTCCTCTTTCACTCAAATCCAAGAAAGGTTTTGAAGGTCGTCCACGTTTTGTTCCCGAGGCCGAGGTTGAGGCAACACATTGCTCCTGTTCGATGAATTCCTCGATGCCAAATTCTCCATCAAGCCAATTCCGAAAATACGACTCAAATCGCTCTTTCGTGCGATTAGCTTCATGCCATTTGTTGATGTATTTAGTAACGATTTTATGGATTTTTTCATCGAGACGTTTACGTTTTTCCACCGAGATGTTATAATTTTCACAAATGAATTCAATGGCTCTGTGAACATTGTCACTATGGCTTAATTTTGCGTCTAATAGATTAATAATGATTCTATTATCCATGCTCACACTTGGTCTCAACCGTACATTTGAATTACACTGTCGTAGTTTAAATAAAAGCTACACAAAATACACTATGGCTTCAAATTGACACTACAGTAGGGTAAGTACAGACTTAGGTATAAATTAAACTCATCCGCGCATATGCGTAGGTACATACTTACGCATATGCTTTTATAATCGTCATAACCCACTTACTTTAGAATAAAGCATAAACGAATGTAGTTTTACGTTCATCCAACAGTGAACTTTACGATAATGATGACTTCTTTTTGTACAAAAGCTTAAGCCCTTTTTAAAAGTTGGTCATGAAATATTAGAAAATGTTCTTTAACAATATATTTCGACTATACCAACCGAATATAACTCCTAAAGTTGCAAAATAATTGTTGAAAAAGTTTGTTTCCAAGCCGGCTCTTGTACAATTTGAAATCTCCCATAATAACCGAAAATTTTCAAATCGCTTTTATTTCCAATGGGGCATGTTGGGGCAGGCAAACTCTTCAGTACTTGTTAGAGTACACTCAAAACTTTATCCAGAGCTGAGAATTGCGAGACTCGAAAGTTTGTGATCAATAAAGTTAAATTTTCATTGATTTTCAATTATTTTTTTTCTATTTTTATTTTTTATTTTTTTTGTCTCCATCAAATTTCCAAATGGATTTAATTTTCGAAAAGCGTATTAAATTACCTTTCCAACGATGTACAATGATGTGGTAGTTATATGATAAATAGTGGATGAAATTTTATTTGAGTGGTAGTGTATTTTTGCGGCAAAATTTGTACTTTTCTTACTCTTTTTTGACTTCGGCATCCGATATCTCAGAAACTAAAACTGCTAGAAGCTTGAAACTTTCAGATTCTCTTAGTTGAATAACGAAATAAGGATTAGTTAAAGTCAATTTTTTGATTTTTGACCGCCTGATATCTGATAGTGCACTGTCCGTTAGATATCATTAGAAAAAGATAAATCGTAGTCAAACAGATATCTGTAGGTTTTGCGACTGTGAGACAGATACCTCTCAACATTTGCTTTGCGAATGTTCGGCACTATTCGGGCGCAGAAGACAATATTTCAACAAAAACATACTAAGTCCTTCTGAGATTTGGTGAAAAAATCCCAAAATGGTGGTTGAATTCATTTTTAGAATTATACCAGATTGGGGTACTCCGCATTATCAGGCAACAACGACAGTTACCCTAAATGGTAACTCATCATCCTGAAAGATGTGCGATACTAACCAGAGGTATACCACAATAGATCAACTTAATGGTCACAGTGGTTCAAATCCCAAAAAAAAAAAAATGGAAGGGTTGGTCTGTACCCATCCAGAAATATGTCAAGTGTTATTTCCAAGTGCTGAGTGAGTGCTGCGCTGCATTCAATATAAGCTGCAATCCAGAAGACAAGCAATGTTCCTTGTTTCTCTCTGCAATTTTCCAAGGTGTAAGAAACCTTACTATCACGGGGGAAAAATTTATGCGAAGCATCAATTGACCGAACCTATGAAGAAAATTTGAAAGTGATATAGTTTAGAACTGAAAACAAACTACAATTTAATCGGTAGTTTTTACTGAACAAATAGTAAACTTTTAAATCAACCGAGTAAAAATTTTACTGAATTTTCGGTAAAAATCTGGCAGAATGCTCTCTTCCTTTTCTAATTATTCAGTAAAATTTACATTGCTTTTCAGCAAATTTTGACAGCTCAGCAGAGTGATGTCAAATTTACTTTATTGACTGCTCCATATTCGGTAAAAAAAATATATTACTCTTAAAAAAAAAGAACTAAGTGTGTAGGCTAGTTTATCTCGGCGAACACTCCTTTGTAAAAGGAGCTTTTTACCTGAATGGATGAGCATGCGCTTCGGTGAATATAAATTCTCCCAATTCAAAATGGGTTCAAAACATGCGTTTTGTAAAATTGAAACCAAGTCTCACCCATGAACACACGTTAAAATCAGAGTAGAACGAAATGACGTCAACAAACAAATTTGAACATACCTTTAGCGTGTAACCTCACCCAAGATCTGCCCATTGTTTTGGTTCCCAACCTGCTACTGGCACAATTTTCACTTATTTGAGGTTCTACCTTGAGATGACTGCAACAAACTAAGCACCTCACAAAATTCATCGATCCGATCGAACCGATCAATCGACAACAGCTGATGCAATGCAATACAAGTGAAACCCCCAATACCCGCAATTTTTCTCTAACGTAAATGCGAGTGCGTTTGTGTGTGACTGGCATTGAGTCCCATCCTTTTGGCAACCAACCCAACCCAACATTAGACGACGACGACGCTTAATCAAACAACATCAATTTTAGGCAACAAACAAGTCAATCGTGCGACACCAAACAACATCACATCCGTCATCGAGTGTCGTCGACGGTAAGAGGTACATACGCTCGACGGCCAACTGGGCCGTGGTTTCATCCGAGCCGCACTCGTTGCTCGCCCGACAGCTGTAGCGAGCTTGGTCTTCGAGGAATACCTGCTCGAAGCGTAGCGCCGCTTCGCCCGTGGTCGGATCGTACGAGATTCGGTAATCGGACGAACCGTTTATGCAAGTGTCATTTTTGAACCAGTGAACCTCCGGGGGTTGGGGATTACCTGAGACGGTGCAGAGGTACTGGAACGGTTGGCCCTCGGTCGCGGTGCCGTTTTCCAATTTTTGCGTGAAAACCGGTGGCACTCCTTGCGGCTTCACGGGCTGCGGCAATTCAGTTACGATCAGACGAGCCGGAGAGTCAGCGATTCCGGCGTCGTTGATCGCTCGGCAGAGGTATTCGGCCGTGTCGGCCGTGACGGTTTCATCGATGGTGAGAGTGCACAGGCCACCGTCGAAGGTGGTTTTGTAGTCGGGGTTGTTGTGGATGCTGATGCCGTCTTTGAACCACTCGATCGCCGGAGTCGGGTGGCCGATGATGACGCACTGCAGCTGGGCGCGTTGGCCTTCCCGAACGGACACGTCCCTAAGGGGTTGAGGAACGGACAGGGATGGCGGAGGCTCGGTGGCAGTTACTATTTCGTGAATCTGCTCGTGGCGAGATTCCTCCACTGTCTGGATGACCAGCGGAGATTGCGGTTCCTGGAAGTATTGACTTTCGTCAACGGTTTGAACTTCGAAGGACTGCTGCTGGGGAAGTCCGTTATGCGACGTGGTTGATGTGATTGTCGTTACCTCGTGATAACCATTCTGCTGGGTTTCTTGTTGCTGCTGTTGTTGCAGCTGTTGTTCGGTGAGTTCTTTGGCGCGATCGTTGAGATCGTTTTTAATCTTGTAGAATGATTGAAACAGCTTCAGGTTATCGTTGTACAGCACTACCGAGCTATCGTGGCCGTAGATCTGCGAGGAGAGCGTGGAAATTTGCTTCAGCGTATCCAACTGTTGAGTCTCGTAAACTTTGAGAATGTTGTCGATTTGCTGGATCAGGTCATTGGCGATGTCCGGGTTGTTCAGGATCGACAGTTTGTTGTTGGCGTTGATCAAATCGGCATTCAGATTGCGGTAGTTGTTCTCCACCTAAAATTATAGGAATCGGTCAGTTTTTTCTAGATTTTTTTTCAAGCCTCTAGTAAGAACTCCATACGTACCACTGTGATCAACTCGTAGTACTGGATTGCAATGGTCGTTAGCTTACGGTACTCCTGAATTGTGTTGAACAGCTCTGCCCATTCGTTGCGAATCTTGGTGGCTTCCGTGTGGACGTACTGTGCCGTTTCCGGATACTGAGAACTCAAGCTCTGCGAGGAGCTCACAAAGGACTCAATTTTCGATTCCAGGTCCTGAAATTAATCGGATAATTAGCATTGACATTTTTCCCTCAAAATGAACATGGTTTCTATCAGTCGAAAAACGACCGGGATGAATGCCAAAAACCACTTTGCATCTTTCTTTTAAAAATAAATCAATCCGAGCTCAACGAGCAAGAATGATTATAATTTTAATTGGTCGTGACGGGTACGCAATGCAACCTGTTTCTTTTCCTCGTTTTTACGGGTGTAGCGTTTTCTTCTTCGCTCAACCAGTGGAAATGCACAACATACGAGTAGAAAAAAAAATAAACGATCGAGCTAAGCGAATCAAGCGACTTGCGTTGTTTTTGCACTGCATTTCTAATGAGATGCGGCAAAACCTACCGACAGGCAGATGTGCAGGTTCAGGCAGAAAAGAGATTGATGTGATCAGAGGAAGCAGGTTTGGATTCTGCCAGTCGGAGGTCAATGTCGGAGTTCGTGCCACTGTCATCACCGGTGTTTGATTAAGTTGGAAATGTGGTGCACAGTTGAGAGTTTCCTGTTGAAAAGTACCTAGTTTACGTGTGCTGGAGCATTACACGTTTTTTTTTTGCAAATTAGACGTTAATGTTGAACAGAGTCCTTTAAGAATTTCATAGGTGTTTTGGGAATTCTTAAAAAAAAACATTCATGGGGTAAGCCTGTTAAAGAAGTAGACTCACATAAAAATTATTGATATTACCTTAGAGAAGTGGTAAGTGGTAGTTGCAACATTGAGGTTATACTATTATTTTTTAATGCAATTCCGAATGTTTCAGTTTATTAACAATTAACGGCGTTGTAAGCAGCATGCTTGGCATACACAGTTTTGGTTACGAACTGCTAATTTGCTTATAATTTTGCACACAGTTCACGAAACCAAGGGGATGGTCACTGTGTCGCATGTTGTGTAAAAAATACAAATGGGCACTTTCATTGGCACCCATGGTCAGAAATTTTCATGATATTTAAAGTTACTGGCAACTCTGTATATTTGCGCCTTATCTTTGTATGTGTCAACATGTTATTCATTGTTGTTGACACAATCCAAACCTGTTTAAAATACTGAATTTCCAAGGTAGGAACAATGTAAAACAATTAGATACATATCATAAAAATTAAGGCTGGTAAGTAACTGTAGTAGCTGAAGATTTAAATGAAATGGAATTTAATTAAATTTTGGAATAAATAAAAAATTTAAAAAAAGTAGGCTTTGAGCAGAGTAGGCTTTGAGCAGAGTAGGCTAACCAAATAACATTGCAAGTTTTATTGAGGTTATAAAACATTCTACAAGTCTAAATCTTGGTCAACAGAATCCTCATAAAACCAAAATTAATACTTGGGTATTACCATCGGCAATTAAGTTTGTAAATAAATTATTGCAATAAAAATGTCGCAAGCTGAATTTTAGTTTTTTTTTTGAATAAATAGTTCCTTTATTAGGTCACAACATCAGAATTACACAATGTTTCTGGATAATTATTATCTTCCCGATAACACATTTTCCTTTTGTTTTTTACCTTTTTCCTTCTTCATAACTCTAACCTAACCTTACTTAACTTACTTACATTGTAATGTCAGAAAAACGTTTACCCGCAGTTGACTCGGGGTTATTTTAACACACTCACTCGCACACTTATTCATCCGCACACACATAAATTTGTATGTCATATTCACAATGTTACATTTTAACGATACATTAAACTACTGCTCCGACTCGCAAAATCAAAAAATGTTTAAACAATCACCAAATTCAGCGTTGAATACAATCCGTTTGTTCCATCTTATCGCTCTAATTTCTTTTTTGAACATGAACAAGGAAGGTACACTCACCCTCATGTTGAACGAAATAGCTTTCAACTGCTTTGATGATGCTGGGATCGGTAACTGAAGAATATTCTCTATATCATTAAAATTTACTTTTAATCTATAGTTTAAGATTTGACTGCACCAATCCCAAATTATCTTAGCTTTTGGGCATTGTTTAAGTCGATGTTCATGGGTATCACATATTTCACAATTTGTGACATTTATATGGCCAATATTGTACTCTTGGAGTTTTTCTTTAGTTGGCACAATGTCGTTCACGAACTGAAACAAATGCGCTTGATCGAGAAAAGATACAAACTGTTAGTTTATATTCTCCCAAATTATTTCCCATTCCATTTGTATTCTCGATTCTATTGCAGGCATCACCGAATTTTTTGTTCCCATGAAAAACCCATACATACCTTGTGTTGTGTTCAAGGAATAATTGTCCCTAAGAAAAATGCCTTCTTGCAACCATTCTCTAGCGTTTCGTGACAATATTCCTTTCAAGTTGCTAGTTAATAGATAGTTTTCCTCCAAATTTTGTCCATACTGATCAAAGTTATAGAAAATGTTTTTCAAGAAAAGTGCCTTCGCTTTTTCTTTTTTTTTAACTCTTTATTTGTTCCAAATTTAAAATAAATTACATTTCATTTTAACCTAGGTGCTTCAGTTACTACAGTAACTTACCAGCCCTAATTGTTATGATATATAGCAGTATTTTAAACAGGTTTTTTTTTATACCTGCATGTTAGTATAACAATTGATATCTTAAAACTAAAAACTAAAACTAAATCTCATCTAAGTATAAAGGGAATTAATCGTTGCAATTGAGGATTGCAACGATTTTTGCCTGAAATTATTAATTATTTTGTTGGACATTTGTTCTAAAGTCTCAACATTCGAAATTCTATGTACTTCGGTAGTACTGTACCAGGGAGGCAACTTCAAAATCATCTTCAGAACTTTGTTCTGAATCCTTTGAAGTGCTTTTTTCCTGGTAGTGCAACAACTAGACCATATTTGCATAGCGTAAAGCATGGCCGGTCTAAAAACTTGTTTAAATATTAGAAGTTTATTCGTCAGACAAAGTTTGGATTTCCTGTTTATAAGAGGATACAAACATTTTATATACTTGTTACATTTGGCATGAATGCCCTCAATGTGATCTTTAAAAGCTAATTTTTGGTCAAGTATTAATCCAAGATATTTCACTTGGTTTGACCAGGAAATTAGAACTCCGTTCATAGTGACTATGTGACTACTACTAGGTTTCAAAAAAGAAGCTCTAGGCTAATGTGGAAATATTATAAGTTGAGTTTTGGAAGCGTTGGGAGAAATCTTCCATTTTTGAAAATAAGAAGACAAAATATCTAAACTTTTCTGCAGTTTGCTGCAAATAACACGAAGACTTCTTCCTTTAGCGGAAATGCCTGTGTCATCAGCGAACAAAGATTTGTGGCAACCCTGAGGCAAATCAGGGAGGTCCGAAGTGAAAATGTTATACAATATAAGCCCAAGAATGCTACCCTGAGGAACTCCTGCTCTAACAGGTAGTCGATTAGATTTGGAATTTTGATAATTTACCTGCAGAGTTCTGGCAGTTAAAAAATTCTGAACTAATGTCATAATGTAAAGTGGAAAATTAAACTTTTTCAATTTAGCAATCAAACCTTCATTCCAAACACTGTCGAATGCTTTTTCTATGTCTAGAAGAGCAACTCCAGAACGAATTAAATTGGTAACTCTTAAGAGTTGATGAGTTTTTAGTTTTAAGTAATTTTGTAATCTAATCAATGGCTCCGCAAAGCTATAGCAAATGAGCCTGGAAAAATAAACGCATTATAAAAAAAAGAGTTGATGAGTAGTTGAATGCCCATGGTGAAATCCAAACTGCTCATCTGCAAAAATTGAGTTCGTATTGATGTGAAGCATCATTCTATTCCAAATTATCTTTTCAAAAAGTTTACTCATTTGAAGAAAGCAAACTTATTGGGCGGTAGCTAGAAGCTTCAGCAGGATTTTTATCCGGCTTCAAAATTGGAACAACTTTTGCATTTTTCCATTTATCAGGAAAGTATGCCAAATTGAAACATCTGTTAAATAATTTTACCAAGAAAAACAAGGTACTCTCTGGGAGTTTTTTGATAAGGATATAGAAAATTCCATCATCACCTGGAGCTTTCATATTTTGAAACTTTTTAGTTATAGACCTTACTTCGTCCAAATCAGTCCCCCAGGAATCATCAAAAATATTTTCCCGAGAGAAAATATTCAGAAAATCCCGAGCAACCTGATTCTCAATAGGACTAGTTAGACCTATTATGGGAACTCTCGAATTGCTTAGCAAGTTTCTGAGATTTTTCCAAATTTGTGATCAAAATTTTACCACCTTCTTTAAACGCTGGAGTTGGCTTTTTGTGAGTTTCCAAAAGGGTTTGGAACTCGGGTCTAATTTAGAAACATTATTTTCAAAAGTTTTGTTCCTCAGCGCAGAGAATCGCTTTTTAATTTATTTTTTTGCAAATCCCGCCAGATTACTTTCATGGCAGGATCGCGTGTTCTTTGATATTGTCTCCTACGGACATTTTTAAGACGGATCAAGAGCTGAAGATCATCGTCTATTATAATTGAATCGAATTTAACCTCGGATTTTGGTACTGAGGCAGCTCTTGCTTCAACTATAGAAGTAGTCAGAGATTCAAGAGCATAATTAATTTCATCTTTGGTTTGCAAAGGAATGTTTGGATCAAAATTATATTCCATAAATGTTCGATATAGCTCCCAATCAGCTCTATGGTAATTGAAAGTAGAGCTGTTGGGATTACAAATTATTTCTTGGGATATTTCAAAAGTTACTGGAAGGTGATCAGAACCGAAGTCAGCATGGGTAACCAATTGGCTACAAATTTGACATGAATCAGTTAAGACCAAATCAATAGTGGAGGGATTTCTTGCTGAAGAAAAGTATGTTGGGCTGTTAGGATATTGAATAGTGTAATAACCTGCAGAACAATCATCAAACAGAATATTACCATTGGAATTGCTTTGAGCATTATTCCATGAGCGGTGTTTTGCATTAAAATCACCAATAATGAAGAATTTAGACCTATGACGGGTAAGTTTCTGAAGGTTACCCTTGAGAAAATTCTTTTGCTGGCCTACGCATTGGAATGGCAAATAGGCAGCTATTAACGTAA